GGTTAAGGCTAGCCTAGGTCTAGGCCTACGTCTCATTGAAAACACGCCAAGTTGGTACCGTAGCTCTAGACTAGATGCTCGTCCAATGAAATTAGTTGAGAACAAATTGACCCATTAGACACACATTATGTATAATGCCAAAGATAGTGTTGTTTTCAGACTTGACACCGCTTCACTCGGTGGCAATTGACAAAAAGTCAATTGTTGTCAATTGCCACCGCGTCACTCGGTGGCAATTGACGCTACCATTTTTTTACTTTCCCTCCTGTCTCACACTCAGATACTAGGTTTTCATTTTGTACTACTTATTGTTGATGCGCCGAACACAAATATCGACTTTTTTTGCGTCGCAAATTAATAGTTTTTGAAATATTTGATTGTTTTTAATCAGACTTTATCACACTAACCTAATTGCCTTGTAATTTACAGGTTTTAGGCCAGTCGGTAGAGACGGGCGGGAGGCGCTTTTTCCTTCCCGAGCGAGAAGACAGAGAAGCTGACCTACTTCTCGCCGGGACCGGTACCGGTCCTAAGTAATCCTTCTCGTCTCGTGTACCGAGAAATGCTTCTTGTCTCGTAAATGCTTCTCGTCTCGTGTCCCAGGAAATGCTTCTCGTCTCGTGACCAATTTCTCTTCTCGCCCCGCAGTACGGGAACTCGCTCAGCGAGAAGGCCGGCCGTGGATCTAAACTAGGCTAGCCCTGTTGCGCAGGTGCAGGCAGTGAAGGAAAGTAGGGAGATCTAGGCCTAGGCCCAGATCAACTCCCCACTTGACTCGTCTCGCCACCCTCTCCCCTCCCTTTCTGTTTCACACACAGGACGGTACGGTGATGGGTGGCACTGTCTGCGTGTCATTTCTCGCCTCTCAGTCTCGTTACTGTTACTCGATATGTCAAGCCAACGAGCAGTATCACTGCTCGGTACCGGGCAGTAGTTTAGTGCCCGGGCAGCGATGGGAAGGACATTTCTCGCGAGAAACGAGTACTCGGTTCGTCTCGTGCCCGCCCCTACCAGTCGGGGGGGTTTCAGGGGGACATGTCTCCTCTGATGTAAAAAAAATCTGTTGGGGGGTTTGCAGCTTTCTACGAACTAAGAGCCACCACTATCAACCCCCCATTATTTTTGTCGTTTTATAGATTAGGTTTTGTTGACTTGTGAAAACTGAAAGCCCTCTATGGCTCTTGTTAAATTTTTGTCCTCTTTTAGGATTTTACTGAAGAACTTTTGTTAATTCAGTCCTCTAATAAATGGATAGGAGTTCAATTAGAAATTTAACTTAAGACAAAGAACATGTGATACTCATGTATTAAGAAGATGTTGTGGGCACCATAACTTATTCTCTGTCCTAGATTTTATTATTATTTTAAGTTTGAGTACTGGTACTGACATTGATAAACCTTACTTCATTCTTTGCTTGGCAGATATTTTCTCCATGGAGCATGCAACAGAGGAGACAGTTGCAGATTTTCCCATGACAAATCAAGAGCTGTTCCAGTTGACAATATATGTCGTTACTATCTAGCTGGGAATTGTGTTTATGGAGATCGCTGCAGGTACAGAAACATGAATGTCTTCTCCAATACACCGAAGAACATATTTGGCAGACATGTCCTATTATAATTATTATATTACAGACTGATGTGACAATTTATGACAAATACCATCATGCATAGTTTGGTTAAGCGCTCATAACTCTAATATGAACAGGCACAGCAGGATATCACAGATATATTCCTTGGACTGAGACTGAGGACCTGAGTTTCTTTTAATTATAATCATTTGGATTGAAAGTTATTGATAGAATGAGCAGGCGAGAAAGATTTTAGGCTGTCTTTGTGTCTTATATTGCTGATAAAAGCCAGCAATGTCTAAAGGGGTCTGGGCAGCACAGGCACTTTGTGAAGACTTTGATGCCTTCTGGGGCCTCCTGCTATAGTATGGAAGGAAAAGAGAATATTTAGTCAGGGATTTTTTTTGGGGGGGGGGGGGGGGGGGGGGGGGGGAGGGTGTCATACACTTACGTACACCCCCTTGATTTAAAAACGTGTTCTGACCTCTCAAATAAGTCAATGAAATCATAGACTCTTGACTCGATCGGTAGTTCCAACATTGTTTAGCAATAATCACAGTCTGCTGTGCGCATTGCCTTGACATGACACTGAACGCTACCCTCCGTCGTGACGTGATTATTTATAGAACAGGCTGAGTCTGCAGTTTGTCTGCCGGGTTAACTCGATCACTGATTGTATAAAAGGGGCCGTCGAACCTGTTGAGCTTCAGTTCCTACCACAAATCACACGAGTCGGACGATTCAAGTGAGGTCTGAGCTCACAGCCGCTTACTTCGATGAAACCTCCAAGCAGCAACGTGAAGAAATGACGAAGGCGGGCCCGAGACACTTTCCAGTGCTTCGGGCCCACCCCTCGTCCAGTTTTCTTGTCGACAGCTGCGGCAGCAAGAAAACGTTCGTTCTGCAGCTCCAGGGAGGCTCACAGACGAACAGGACGATGACAACGAAGTCTAACTTCACTCAACTCCGCCATTTTCCCTTCTTTTTCTTACCTCTTGGCTGGGCTCGGTCTACCGTTTTGTCACTGGCGTCTGTTGCTATGGTGACGCCAGGGCAGCGGTTTGACTGGACCAGCTAGGGTCCGAAAGCGTGTCTCCCCTCTGTCTGTCTAGCGGCCGCGCCATCACACATCAAGTGTGCTATGCAGTTTGACAGAGGGAGGACTGCCTGAGGACCCACCCCCAGTGGGACTGACCGGGTGCTGTGACTGGCCTATTGGACCCACACAGCTCTGGTATGGTCACTCTGGGGGAAAACACATTCGACTGACCAAGACCAAGCTCATGTGTACCGGGTACATACTGTTTATCCCAGAATGTCTGTGAGGGTCTGCGTAGGCCCTACTGTTTGGTTCCAGGACTAAACTACTTGTATTTCATACTGTTGTTAATTATTTGTCGAATCCATTTGCTGGATATAAATGTAATTAATTGTGACCACAGTTTTATCAAAGGCTGTTGTGAATTTGGTACATGTATTGCTGAATGATATTTTTTTTGTCGAATTATTTATGTTTTCACAGATCTCTCGTCGATTCTTCCCACCTCTCCTCTCCTGCTCCTCTCTTACCTCCTCTCCTCTCCCCTCCTCTCTCCCTAGCTCTGTCTTTCTGTCTATGTCCCTGCCCCCCCTCCCCCTTCACCCCCTCTCTCTCTCTCCTTTTCACTCAAGTTAGCGCTCACAGAAAAAACCTGGAAATTTTAAACACACGCCAAGGACTACTATATGAGTATAGTAGTCCTTGACACACGCTCATTTCGGATAGTTAAGTCAAACAAAATTATTTAGCATATAATCATTTTCATTATTCCGCTTCTATTGAGCAAAAGAGATCTTGTTGGTCCCTCCGATATAATCGACTTCAAGCAGGTACACAAGTCCACACACACTCACACACACACACACGCACACACACACACACACACACACACACACACACACACACACAGACGGACAGTAAGCTGATCGTGAGCTCTGTGGTTGCTAGAT